TCCTTGTATTGTTGATGATTTTAGATGGAAAGTCTTTCCATTTTTGTACATGGACTACATTAAAGAGAGATGAAAATCTATTGTCTATGCAAGAAAACCAAATAGAAGGTAAGAGGGATCACTTCTTTTTTGTACTTGTGGCACACTCAATGACAGTAAGTGTGGTGTTTCATTGCTCTTTTCTCTGCCTATGTTTTTACAGTAGAGATATTGGCAATAAATCTCTTATTTTTCTTTGATGGAGAATATCTTGATTTCCCCTTCAGTTTTGAGGATATTTTTTGCTTGATAAAGGATTTTGGTTGACAGTTTATTTCACTAAATAAAAAATTTTGTGCCATACCATTCTGATCTGCATGGATTATGCCATTACAGATCACTCCCATGTAAAATACTTTTAACCTATAAGTATGGTGTTGCATCCCTCTGAATTGAAAGGCTGATAATGTAGAAGACATAATGAGAATTCAGGAACTTTGCTGTTGATGGTACATAACCATTTCCTCAAAGGCTCTTAAAGTCTGATCGGTTCCTGGCTTTCTTTGTAACCAACAATATTTTTCATGCCAAAGACGAAAGAACTCTTCATAAATCATATCTTAATTATGTGTCATAATTCACCAGATTTTAGTTAATGTTTTTCTACCTACTATGGGTGCCATAGTCAAATTCAGACTTTGGGATTGTCTGAAGAAATAAATAGTAAATGCCCAGCCTGAAAACATTGTCAATGTATTGCTTGACATTACTCTATTTCTTACTTCTCATGTATTTCATAGGGCCTCAATTTTTGAATGTATGTAATAAAGACTAGGAAACATGGAGTTGTATGAATTGGTGCACAAATAATATGGCTTTTCAGTCTATTTTCCATTTATAGCTATTCCTTTCTCATTTTCTGGAAGATACAAGCTATTGATTTATTTATTTATTTTAAAGGGAGTAAAACAGAACAGTAAAATGAAACAAAACAAAACAAAACAAAACAAAACAGAGATAAGGCAATAGGAAACCCACAATCATTACTATTTTGAATATGGTTATCCTCTAAATAGTTGCCCAGAGCACCAGCGCCAGCTATGTAAAGTCAATCAAACAACATAAATGTCAGGTTACTTCTCTGCTTCAGTGATTATCATCTCAGCCTGTGTCCCATCTGTTTGCTCATGTGTGGGTCGACATGAGGTGGAGGTGCCCCTTGCTGCTTCTCCCCTGCTGACAGGATGGAAGATGCAATGTTTTTAATAGTTCTGCACTGAGATTTAAATTTTAGTGCCCTTTGGCCATCTACATGGTGAAGACAACAGTGACAAGAATGAATTGCAGAGTGAGTAAGACCTCTCCCTTGTATCTCCTCCTCCTCCTCTTCCTCCTTCTTCTTCTTCTTTTTCTTCTTCACTCTGACCATTACTTCATGAGGATTTCATTTGTGAGTGCAAGGACACTGAGCAGACTCTGCTGCTGACTGAGGGAATAGAACAGTGGTCATGATTATGCAATATTAGCCTTTACTCTGTCCCCATTCCTAATAGGCAAATAAATGTATACTCAGCCTGAGTTTTAAAACACAGTAACTGAAAAAAGAGAACCCATCAACAGCCCTGATCCGTCCTGTGTTTGAAGTGGGATGTGTTAGTTTGATGTTTTATGTGGCGTCAGGATCACTTTCACAGAGGTGGTAGTTGTGTCTGCAGTTTGAAGTCTTCAGCATGCAAATAGGCTTCCCCGTGTTGCTATTAACTTCTGACACTGCTCCGCCTCCCCACCACCATGTTCTTGCTTTCTCAAATGAGTGTGTGTTGTCTTAGGTTTTCCACTTCAGTCTCCAGCATCTGTGCCTACTCCCATCTCCTCATCCTGTGAGTGGCCACTGCTACACCTTTACAGGTAAAAGTGTGAGCTACAGAGTGGTAGTACCATGATCTGAAAGTTCAGTAGAAAGAAATGTCACTTTCCTGTAAGCCCAGTGCTTGGAAGACTGAAGCAGGAGAACCGCTGAGAGTTTGAGGCCAGCCTTGTCTACATAGTGATTTCAAGGCCAAACTATACTACAGTACATAAGCAAGAACCTGCCTAAAAAACCAAAAACAAAAGTGGATGTGAGTCCCAATCCAAGACTTACTCCATCAGAGTGTGTATTTTAGTAAGATTTTCATATGAAAAGGAAATCAATAAGTTAAAAAAGTAAGTGACAATGGTGAATCTTCAGGTTTTCTTCAAAGAAAGAAGACAACATTTTCCCTTCATAATGGAAAAGAATTATAGGTGTGCACTAGTTTCCCACTTCCCTCCCCAGTCCCTCACTTAGCAGGATGTTCATAGTGTTTTCAACCCAACAACATCATTTTATGTCTGTCTGAACAAACTAGGATAAAAGAAAACTAGTGAGTCCAAAATTAGGGTGTGATTCCAGTCTACCAGTCACAGGGATGATTTTTAAGTGGTGTATTTGATGGTATTTTTCTTTTATCTAGCAAAGTGAGCAGACATTCACAAAGCATTTGTCACTTCTGGTAAACTCTCACTTCTTAATCAAAAAGCTCACTTCTAGATGGGTAAATCACATGCATGTGTCTCATTCCACAGCACCTCGGAGCCCCCAGATCCCAGCTGCTAGTGGTCTCCACTGCTGGCTTCGGGAGTGAGACCTCTTTGATGGGCAGCAATCCAGAGGTCCATGATGGCTCCATGGTTCCTTCTGCTACTTTTGAAGGAAACACACATTCCCTGTAGCTCCAGGGCAGGTTGTGGTGAATATATGACTCATAGTATGACTTATATAATCTAATTTAAAAAATGAAGGACTGCAGGGTTGGGGGAAGAGAACTGGGAGCCTCAGCATGAGGTGATTCCCATCTGGAAAGCAGCGCCATGTGCTGACTGCTGTTTGCTGTGGAAGTTGGGCACTCAAACCTCTCTTAGCGCCATTCTGGGACTTTATTGAGGGAAAGATCCAGATCTCACCAGGAAGTGATTCCACTGGAAAACCTTATCATTTTCATTGTTGTTGGTTGGGTTTTATTCTCTTTTGCTTTATTTGATTATGTGAAATCTGATGGCAGGAGCAGCTATTTGAAAGATAACAAGACACATTGTGGTAGCCATTTTGGATTTAGTAGTGGCTCATTTACTAGTGGCATTCACTGTTTTGGCTTTATTGTTTTGTATTCCATTCTGTTCTGGTCAATTTTTACTATGTCAGAAGGTTCTGCAGCTATTTTGAAGATGACAAAGGGCAATTATGGTAACTATTGTTGGTTTTGTAACAGTTTGAAGACCTGTATCACTTATACTAGTTTATTTTTGATTGGTTTTATTGTTTTATTTTCCTTGGTTTTGTCCTCTTTAAAATAAAATTAAAAAAATAAAAAAATGAAATACATTCCTATCTGTTACACTTTAAATATTACATGACTTTCACAATATAGCATGGTATATCACTTTAATAAAGAAAATGGGAAATATAAAGACAATGACATAAAATGTTCTTCAAGATATTTTATGTAGGAAAATCTCTCTGCAAACAGAATAAATTCTATTTATGTTACAATGACCCAAATATAATATGTATGCATAAATTTAAAGAAATCAAAAGAAAATTTCTGAGAACTTCTATAACAGGATCTTATCAGTTGTTGCTTCACAGAGAGATAAAGAATGTAAAAAGTATTTTTAAAAAAATTTTTAACTAAAGGAAAAAAAGAAAAAAACCAAAACACTATAAGGGTACAAGTAATACAGAATTGCAAAAAACCCCTGTAAGAAATCACTAGTTAATAGATTACATATTGTCACCTTAGAAATAGCTGTTCAAGTTACAGGAAGAATATAAAGACTATTAAGCACAAATCTATGTCTAATTTACACAGAAATTTGTAAAAATCACAGTATGTTGACCTATTGAAAATATCTATGTTCACTTATTGAACTATTAGGAAAATGAAAGTATTGTCCACTAAAATCTATTGACATTGTCCTTACAAATATGTTCTCCTGCAAGACTTTAATTTCCAATTAGAACTTAAAGAAAAGACATCCTAAAATAAGAGCCTGTTTGATTTAAACAAAACATATAACATCATCAAAATATTTAGTAAATGGAACTTTCTGTTGAGATTTCTGATGATCATAAATGTTCATTTTATTATTTTGCTACACTAATGAAATTCATGCAAATTCTGGTAGAAACTAAGGCAACCTAAGAGATAAATTATTTTGAAAGATAACATCAAATTCTTGCTTTAATAAAGATGGTACTTATGAAGATTGACCTCTGCCAAAATATACAGCCAGGTCTTTTTCATAATCCCTTTGGCTGAAGATTTCACTATTAGGTTGTGTTAGATAAAATTGTTCTTGGAGAATTTTTCTCTAGTTTTCTATTTGTCATAGAATGCTTTTGGGTAAACTTAATTGAACCAGAAAGCAGTGCCTTTTATAATTCTGACCCTGCTTGTATTTGTTTACCTGAGTCAGAATCTCCTGTAGCTTGTTAAAGGAACTTGTACACAGGTTTTAACCTGGTCTTACTGGGTCACCGTTATTGGATACCAGAACAGAACACTGGTGATTTTTAACAGGAACCCATAATGATTTTAGTTGTAATACCATCAATCAATATATAAGTTATTCTTCCGTATCACCCATGTGGGGATTCTGAAATTATCTTCAAATCCTTCCTCTCAGTGCTCCAGTAGCTACATTTTACTTACTGTATGAGAGGCTTTCAGACACATTCTATGCTTAGGAAGACAAGGAAAACAAAGTTTAGATCCACTTTATCCCTTTCCTCATCTGATGATATGAATCATTATCTTCACAATGATTTCATCCAGGAAGAGGGAAAGCTGTTTGTGCTAAGGGCTTTGGTGGTGTTTCCTCAGTGATGGGTCACCTGTGCTGTGGAGGAGGCCGGTGTTTCTTAAACACCTGAGCCTTTCCTCCCTTGACTTCCTATTCCTCTCTCTTCCTGTTTCCCTTCATTTCCGGTTTCTCTCGCTTCCTGTTTTTTTGTGGTACCTGGGTGGAGACCTGAAGAGATGAGGATCACTAGGGTATTAGTTGTACTCCTCATGGGTCTTGTGTCCATTCATGGTTTGGAAGATGGTGAGGAAAAGGAAATTCTAGGAGTGGCAGTGGTATGCTTTTTTACATAAGGTGGCCTTTGGGAATTAATATTTTATTCTCTGGTGATCATCTGTTACTAGCTCTTCATTGCCATTCTCCACTCAGATACACTGTACCTCTTCTTGATTCCCCAACCAGGCAACCTCAGGCTACTGTAATTTTAAATATTATACATATTATGTATATTTATGATAACATTAAATATTATTTTAGTTGAGCAGAAGTCTTTCCTTTCTCATAGCATAATGAAGTATAATTGACTTAAACATTAAAAAGAATGCATCTGATTGCTTTTTCCAAGTATCTAAAACGAAGTATTAATGTGTTTCAGGTCTCTATCCATTATGGTTGAAAATACTTCAACAGTGCATCCTTGAGGTCTATTTGTAGATGGCATTTGAATACTAAGGAACCTGTGGATGATTGGTTTATGAGTCTCTGTAATTTTTCTACATTCAGATGAAAAGGCTGTGCTGTGGAGATAACTTCTCCATGAAAGCAGCGTGGAAAATATATAAATAACACCAGGCTACTTGTATGAGTTGAGATCCAGCTTGATCAGAGGTTAAACACTTTCTGAGCTATTTTTCGGTGACAGGCACAAGATGTGACTCTTTTCTTTTTTTATCAGTGATTATCACCTGCAATGAGTGGTGGCTGTGGGTGAAATTTAGATGGCGGCTTCTTGGGGATGTCCGGGAACCCCGGCCTTCTGAACTGTACTTGGGAACTCGCTGTGCTGCAACAGGAAGAGGGACAGATTACTTAGAATATTTTTATCCTCTCTCTCACTGTGGGATCATCTCTGAAGTAAGAAAAGTTATCATTTCAGTAATGTCCTCTGGTTTTATTTTCAGTGCTATGAAACAATCATTGAAGTTAATTATAAATTCATTTTATAGCTGATATCATCTTAATTAGTTTTGATTTTTGATCCTTTCACAGTAGAAGAGATATCAGGTAAAACCTGGAGCTTTATCCAGGGTATATTCACTTATCTAATTTTTTCAGTGTATCTCTCTTGCTTTTGATGGTGAGGTTTTATATTCTCTATGATAAAATCTACACAGAGCAAAACATTCTATTTCAAAATGCCCTAAAGTCCCTCACCTGTTTGTCATTGTCTAAAAATTCTAACAGGAATAGGGTGTCTAAAGTTACCCAGCTGTTGGATAGCTCTTCCTGAGATTGCATTAATTATTCCACATGGAAAGGATCACTCTGTGTGTGTGTGTGTGTGTGTGTGTGTGTGTGTGTGTGTGTGTAACAGAGAGAGAGAGAGAGAGAGAGAGAGAGAGAGAGAGAGAGAGAGAGAGAGAGAGAAAGAGAAAGAGGGAAAGGGCCTAGCTTGAATGGAGAGAAATAAGCAACATTATTAGCCAATTATGTGCTTGCTGTGCTGATGAGTATTTTAAAAATTCCAGTCCCTTCAGCCTCATGATACCTGGTGAAGGTTATACTTATTTAACGAATGGGATTTACTTAGTGTTAGCTGGTTCGTGTAACCTTCATAGCACCCTGGTACTCAAAACCCTGCACATTTTAAAGATGAAGACAGCAGCAAAGAGCACCATGTCACACAGCAAGGGGTGTACCTGCCCTCTGATGGGTGTTAGTGCCAAGCTCCGATATCTCTCACACCAGCTGCTTTTACTTTGTATTAACTTCTTGTTGGATTTGGTAATGCAGCCTGGCTTTCTAGTTTGGTCCTCTCCTATCTTATTTTTAGTGTATTGAAGGTGGGATTGAAATAGATGGAGAATGTATAAATTAAAAAAAAGCATTATAGCTATGTTTGAATACAAAGTTTATGGCAGTGGAAGACACAGTGTCGTGAATCCCCCTCAGATACTTCTCTTCCGTTTGGAAACACGTATCCCATCATTCTTGTCACTCCTTGTGGTAGTTCTGGGAGTCTGCTTTGGCGTCTCTATGAACTGTAATCAGATATATGGTGAAGGCTGCTGCCTAGGACCATCCAGTGGAAAGGGAGGTTTGTGAATAGCATGATGACATGACCTCATCTGTCTTGTTTACTGGGTCACACTGAATGAGATTAGGCTCCTCAAAGCAGAAACGAGTATGGACAGTACGCATTCTGAATTAATGAATTGGTTCAAACATTGAGGCAGCCACAATTGTGCAGCTAAAGACACTTACACAATTGGAGTTCCTGAATTGCCTCAGGAAGTGTTAAGAACTACATGATAATTGTGTTTAGGGTAAGGGGACTATTTTAAGGGGGATTAATGACATAACGTCTTCTTAAAACAAAACAAAACACTAAATATTTACCATATTTTCTGATTTCCCCATATGATTTAAATTGACTGATTCTCCTCTTGGACCCAGATATCTATCCCCTGCTTTTGATCACTACTGAATCTCCCAGTAACTAAGAAATGTTTTCCCCATGACAAGATTTCTACAAACAGTTGTTAAATGAAATGTAGGCACTTAATAAATACTTGTGAAATGAATAATGAGGCAGTGCCAATCGTCAGCTCAGATAATACTGAATTACTCAGTGGGATATTTCCACTGCTAGTGCAATCTTTCTGGTATGTTTGGAGGATTTCTTCTAGGGAAGAAGATCTGTCTTTTACATTGTAAAAGCAGGTAGGCCATGGAAGCAGATACATCCTGAAGTTCCAACTTGCAAATCTTGGGTAAAGAAGCTGCCTGAACAATAAAACCAACCCAGGGAAAGAAAAAGATATAAGATAGTTTTTCAAGGGAAACTGAGAAACGTATTTGATGACGTGATGAGGTTTTACAAAGTCAAGCTATTCCTAATGTCTGCTTACCTGGGACTCTCAGGTACATGGGTCAGTATATTCCCATGTAGTGAACAATTGAGATAAAATGCAATGTCTTTAATATGTAATAAATATCACTTGTATGATACTCAGCCCTACACATTCTTACCAGACCCTTTTGTAGGTCAAACATTTTGGAATTACTTACTTTCTTTGGTCACACAAAGAGCAAATATTAAATATAGAATTTAAACTTGTGCCATCTGAGGAGCTAGCAAGCTCTCAAGCAGCATCTTTAAGATGTTAACTGGTCCAATTACAGGTGAATAATATACAAGTACAGATTGTATCTCACTGTGTGGGTAAGGTAAATGCTCATTTTTAATACTGCTTTATGTGTTGTGAGTATAGAAAAAATTTAGTTTGTAACATCCAGACATAATGAAAATAACCAGTTTTATACTCTTCACCTGTGTAGGTACGCATATGGGGCATTCTCATCGAAAGTTCAATTGTTTATGAACCGGATAATTCAGATGCCTGGGGTTTCTTACCAATATCATGCTTCATTCAGAGGTGAGTGTTGTAGCCCACCGAAATAAAGGTTATCTGACAGGAAGCTGAATGCAGGGTGTTCCTACAGGAAAGACATTGTGGTTGAACATTTGGGTCCTCTGTGATCTGTAGAGTTCTGCTTAATCCTGTATGTCTTCCCACTGAATTCAGTGGGTAGGGGATTTTTCTGACGGAAATGAGGCTCAGTCAGTTAATAGTTCAATAGTGGCTAACAGTTTGCTGAGCCACTTGCCAACTTTCTTGTTCTACATCCCATGCTACCAAATCTGCCCTACGTTATCTGTATAAATATCAAGAGGTGCTGGTAATCCTTATACGAATGGGTCAGACACCATACATTCTAATGGATCAAGGTTAATGATTGCTTGATATCAGTCGATATGAAAACTGGGGATTCTGAGTCTTACATGCTATAGTTTAGTGTTGTCTGATCTTTTAGGCAAGATCCATGTATAAGTGTTATAGACTCAATGGTAAGTACATCAGTACCTCGGTATTTGTTAACAGGTTCTGGCAAAAGCAACACATGTCAAAAATGATGACCAAAAATTATATTGGCTGGAAAGGGTAAGTGAGTCAGAAGGGCATCAATACCAACAAGTTCTAGCTTGTTTGCCCAATACTGAACAGTGGATATACGAGGACAGGGACAAAATTGTCACCTGAAATGCACTGGGAGTGAGCCATGGTATGGCTGCATTATGCAGAGAGATTTGACTGGCCAATCTTCCTTCTCTTAGATGTTCTACTTCTGTTCCTACCAGCTATTAGAGTGAACCATACTATCTGTTTGGAAATGGTTGGGTTAGAGGAGAGAATGACTTCAAAGGCTCAAAAGCAGAGTACTCCTCCAACACTTTCAAAGTAGAACTGAACAAATCTCTGGCGATTGGCAGTGTGATACAAAAATCATGATCTGCTACAGTGGAGCATTCTCTTCTTACCTCATGAAAGTAATTTCTGCTGTGAGAGAATGAAACAGAAGGTTGTATAGGCACAGAGCTGAGTTCTGGGCACTGGGGGTTTCAGTATCAACAGTCTGAACTCCATGGAGAAAAATACTGAGCAAAATGGAGACTAGATAATTGTATTTATCTTATAGTCACTGACTTTCAACAATGTTCTGTGTTTACTATTCCTTAACATCTCTGATTCCCCACATACATACATGAAAAAATAAATTGTAGGTCATATTCTCAATTACATATAAAATTTAATGTTTCCTTCCTCCTATATTTGCAAATCTGTCAAAGGATTTGGAGGCAGGCAGGAGGTCACCATCATCTATAGATACCTTCTTGCTTTTTCTACATCATATTGTATTCAAATATGAGACAGAGTGACAGAGATTGTGAAGTCTGCCTGGTTCTGAGTTGCATGGTGCAGCTGTGATCATCTCTAGCAACACTAGCTAAAGTCTAACATATTTCAAATTGTGAATAAATGAGTTTCTTGGGGAAGCCCTAGAAGTGCAGTTTGTCTCAATTACAGAATTCCTAGTTCAATCTAGATAAGACTTTATCTACTCTACACAACTCCTCTCTGTCTGATTGGTTGTTCATTCATTATGGTAGAATCTCGTTTTGGGGGGGAGTTTCCACTCCAGCCGACAAACACTCTTGGGTGGTTCATTGAGCAAAGAACTAGAAACGAGGTCTGTGGTGGGGAACTGACTGACCATGCCCCACTGAATGGTCGAAAAGAATGGGTGCTATTATGCTTCTCTCTCCACCTGCACTGTGGCCCTCCTGGGCAGTCACACACCAGCAGACAGCTGTTAGGGAAAGAAGATAACTGTCTCCTGCTGTAAGCACCCACAGAGTGCGTGGGGTTGATTTAAGACACGTTCCTCTGACTTCTTAAAGGGAAGGAGAGTTTCAGTGATTTCTGTCAGTAGAGGCCAAGAACACAGTTTTCAGTGTCATCATTTTTGCAGACATGTAGTGAGATGAATAGAGAGAGCAGAGCAGCTTTGGGTACTTGTTAAGGATTTCCGGCATGTGGCATTTATGTTAAATCAGCTTTGGGCCCCACCTGCATTTTTGTGGGGTAATGAGAAGTTCCATTCTATGTGTCTAAGAATTCTTTCCTCTGTAAAGTATAAATTTTCTTTTCTTTTTTTTGCCTAAGCTAGTTCATTTGGCACTCTCTTATTCATGACCCAAAGATCTGATCTAATTGGGTTTCTTTCCCTGCACACAATCTTTTCTTTACTTCTCCCCCCCTCCAGCAGTGTGTGCACAAGTCTCATATTGCTGTGTCATGATTTCTCTCATTCAGAGCATTTACGTTAACTTATTGGAAAAAGACAGAAGACTATGGTGCTCATGAACCCAAAAACTCAACAGGAAAGCAAAGCTCAACTTCACTTCCAGTGGAAAACTCAGGGACCCACCTGGGACAGACATTAAGGTGGGTTTTTTGATTTCTCACTATATTATGTATTTTACAGTACATTTATGAGATGAATCACACACTGTATTTTTTTTGTTTATTTAAGAGGAAAAAGAGAAAAACACAAAACAAAACAAAGCAGTATAAGGTTACATATAATACAGAACTACAAAAAAAAAACATAACAGTAAGAAATCACCTGTTAATAGATTACATATTATCATCTTGGAAATAGTTGCTCAAATCACAGTATCAAAGAATACAAAGTAGACATTCAAACAGAGAGACTGCAAACAGCTGTGTTCAATGATCCAAAAACATTAATATAGTCAGCTATTCAACACCCCTATACACACTTGCTGTTATATCCGTTAGAGCTCTTTTTTTTCCCCTTCCTCTCTTTTTACAACAAAATTTACACATTTTAGATTTTATTACTCCTTAGTTCTTGTTACTTTTTTTGGGGGGGGGAGAATGAAGTCAAATATGGCAGAACAAAGCTGTCAGTCAAAACCAAGGATAGACTTAGCACATGATGTAGAACAGAGTACACGGTTATTAACAATAGTTATCAACGTTGTCTCTTGTTTCCTTAAAAAGATTTGTCTATCTCATTAGATATTATAAAGTTGAACAAAACAGTAGAGAACAAGACCAATAAAACTTAGACATTGTAAACATTACAGGACTTCCAAAGGAGACAATAGTCAAACCTGAATGGGCATCTTAGTGAATCTTATTGCCTTCAAAGTAGTTGCCTATACCCTCAGACTTGATACTATCCCACAGAATGGAACAGAGTCTAATCAGTCAAAACAAGATCGTGGGAGTATTACAGGACTTCAAAACAAGTTAATAGGAAATCGAAAAGAGTTACTATTATATATCCTAATTTTTTAAATTTTTCCCTTAATTAAAATAAACATAAGAAATAACTAAATAATTTTTTTAAAGAATAATAGTTACCATAGTGTCTGTCTTTTTCCTTGAGATATTTGGATAAAACTTCATATACTATAGCTTCAAATATTTCCATATCAAGAAGTCAAGAATAAAGCCTTTCTAATTAATAAGTGAAAGTTTTATAAGGCTTCAAGGCCACATAATGGGGAATCATGATTGCCACATATTTTCATATATTTGAATCATTACTTACATTAGGGAAACTATTCAGTATTCATACATGCGAGATTGATTTATTTCACTTATGAGTATGGTCTCAAGCTGCGCCCATTTATTGATAAATATCTCAATGTGATCCTTCTTTATAGCTGAATAATACTCCATTGTATAGAAATACCACAAATTTTTTATCCATTCCTCAGTTGATGGACACTTGGGTTGTTTCCAAGATCTGGCAATTACAAATTGTGCTGCTATAAACATAGGTGCACATATATCACTGTGGTATGATGCTTTCAGTTCTTCTGGGAATATGCCTAGAAGTGGAATAGCTGGAATAAATGGGATTTCCAGTCCCAACTTTTTGAGAAACCTCCAGACAGACCTCCACAAAGGCTGTACCAGTCTACACTCCCACCAACAGTGCAGGAGAGTTCCTTTTTCCCCACAGCCTCTCCAGCATTTGTTGTTGTTGGTTTTCTTGATCCTGGCCATTCTTTCAGGAGTGAGATGGTATCTCAGTGTGGTTTTAATTTGCATTTCTCTGATGACCAATGATGATGAGCATGTTTTCATATATTTATTTGCCATTTGCATTTCTTCATCTGAGAATTGTGTATTCATCTCAGATGCTCATTTTTGGATTGGATTTTGAATTTTGGAGATCTGAGTTTTTTTTAATTCTTTATATGTTTTAGACAAGAGTCCCTTGTCAGAGAGAGAGTTCACTAAAATCTTTTCCCAGTTTGTGGGTTTTCTTTTCACTATGCTGGAGATTTCTTTTGACATGCAGAAACTTTTTAATAAGAAGTGTTCCCAGTTATTGATTCTGGGAAGTATTTCCCGTGCGGTTTGAGTCCTGTTCATGAATTCTTTACCTACTCCTATGTCTCCAAGGTTTCTACCCACTTTGTCTTCCAGTAGATTTAGTGTTTCTGTTTTAATATTCAGATCTTTGACCCATTTAGATTTTAATTTAGTACATGGTGATAGACATGGGTCTAGCTTTAGTTTTCGGCAAATGGAGAGCCAGTTTTTCCAGCACCATTTATTAAAGAGACTGTCGTTCTTCCAGTGAACCTGCTTGGCTCCTTTATCAAAGATAAGGTGGTTGAGTGTGTTTGTAGTTGTGGTTGTATCTTCTAATCTATTCCATTGATCTTCGCCTCTGTTTTGATTCCAATACCATGTTGATTTTACTACTGTTGCTTTGTAGTATAATTTCAAGTCAGGGATTGTGATGCCTCCTGCTTTGCCTTTGCTGCTTAGAGTTGCCTTTGTGATTCTAGGTCTTCTGGTTCCAGATGAAATTTAGGAGTGATTTCTCTAGATCTATAAGGTATGTTGATGGTATTTCTATTGGGATTGCATTGAATCTGTATAAGAGTTTTGGGAGAATGGCCATCTTCACAATGTTTGTTCTTCCTATCCATGAGCAAGGGATGTCTTTCCTTTTTCTGAGATCATCTTCAATTTCCTTTTTCAGTGTATTATAATTTTCACTGTATAAGTCTTTCACTTCTTTCGTAAGAGTAATTCCTAAATATTTCATTTTTTTGCTTGCTAATGTGAATAATCCAGTTTCTCTTATTTCCCTCTCTGTGATTTTGTTGTTTGAGTATAGGAATGCTATTGATTTCTGAGTATTGATTTTGTATCCAGCCACATTACTGAATTTATTTATTGTATCTACGAGTCTTTCAATGGAGCTTAGGGGGTCTTCTATGTAGAGTATCATGTCGTCTGCAAACAATGACATCTTAACTTCTTCTTTTCCTATCTTTACCCCTTTTATTTCTCTTTCTTGCCTAATTGCTCTGGCTAGTACTTCCAGTACTATATTAAATAGGAGTGGTGATAAAGGACATCCTTGTCTTGTGCCTGATTTTAAAGTAAAGGCTTTCAATTTTTGGCCATTTAGTATGCTGCTGGCTGTTGGTTTGTCATAAATGGCCTTTATTATATTGAGGTAAAGACCATCTATTCCAATTTTCTGTAGAGTTTTTAATCATGAATAAATGTTGGACCTTATCGAAGGCTTTTTCTGCATCTATAGAAATGATCATGTGATTCTTATTTTTGGCTTTATTGATATGGTGGATTACATTTATTGATTTGCGTATGTTGAACCATCCTTGCATTCCTGGGATGAATCCCACTTGGTCATGGTGTATAATCTTCTTGATGATTTGCTGAATCCTATTTGCCAATATTTTATTGAGGATTTTTGCATCTATGTGTATTAGGGAGATCGGTCTATAGTTCTCTTTTTTAGTTGGGTCTTTCTCAGGTTTTGGTACTAGAGTAATATTTGCTTTCAGAAATGACTTAGGAAGGATTGCTTCCCTTTCAATTTCATTGAATAGTTTGAGGAGTGTCGGCATTAGGTCTTCTTTGTATTTCTTGTAGAATTCTGCAGTGAATCCATCTGGGCCTGGGCTCTTCTTTGTGGGTAAGGACTTAATTACATTTTCAATTTCAGTAACAGAGATTGGGTTATTCAACAGTTTTACATCCTCTTGATCTAGCTTTGGCACTTCATATGCTTCTAAGAATCTGTCTATTTCTTCTGTGTTATCAAACTTTTGAGAGTAGAGGTTTTCGAAATAGGTGTTGATGATCCTCTGTATTTCTATTGGGTCTGTAGTGATTTCTCCTTTTTCATTTCTTATTGCATGAATTTGAGCTTTTTCTTCCCTTTTTTAAATAAGGTTGGCTAGGGGCTTATCGATTTTATTTATTCTTTCAAAGAACCAACTCTTTGATTCGTTGATTCTTTGGATTGTTTTCTTAGTCTCTATTGCATTGATTTCTGCTCTGATTTTTACAATTTCCTCTCTTCTTTTGGCTTTGGGCTTGACTTGCTCTTCTTTTTCTAGCTGTTTGAGGTGTAGCATCAAGTTATTTATTTGTATTCGTTCTGTTTTCCTGATGTGGGAACTCAGTGCAATAAATTTTCCTCTCAGGACGGCTTTCATTGCATCCCACAGGTTCCGGTAAGTTGTATCTGTATTTTCATTTTCTTTTAGGTATTGTTTGATTTCTTCTTTAATTTCTTCTGTGACCCACTGATTACTCAAGAGTGTGTTATTCAGTTTCCATGTGTTTGTGGGATTTTTGCAGTATCTTTTATCATTAATTTCTAATTTCAGAGCGCTATGATCCGATAACATGCACGGGATGATTTCAACTCTTTTGCATTTGCTTAAATATGTTCTGTGAGCTAATATATGGTCTATTTTAGAAAATAATCCATGTACTACTGAGAAGAATGTGTATTCTGATGTTGTTGGGTGGAACATCCTGTATATGTCTATCAAACCCATTTGTTCACAGGTATGATTCAGTTCTGTTATTTGTTTGCTCATTTTCTGTCTGGTTGATCTGTCCCTTGGTGTCAATGGCGTATTAAGGTCTCCTGTTACAATTGTGTTACTGATAATTTGAGTTTTCATTTCTGTTAATAATTGTTTTATATAACTTGGTGCTCTGGAGTTTGGTGCATATATATTTAAGATAGTTATCTCTTCCTCTTGGAGTTTTCCCCTTACGAGTATGTAGTGACCTTCTTTGTCCTTTATGGTCATTGTTGGTTTAAAGTTCACGTTGTCTGCAAACAGAGTGGCTACTCCTGCCTTTTTTTGGATTCCTGCTGCATGAAGAATTGTTTTCCATCCTTTGACTTTCAGTCTGTGAGTATCCTTCTGGGTTAGATGGGTTTCCTGTAAACAGCATATGGTTGGATTTTGTTTCTTGATCCATTCTGCTAGTCTGTTTCTTTTGATTGGTGCATTGAGACCATTTACATTAATGGTTATTACTGTTAAATGCTGGTTAATTGTAGGAATGTTATCTCTCTGCTGTTGCATCTTTATCTTTCTGTTCTGTTTAATTATTTGCTTTGCTTAGTGGTTTTTTCCTTTGTGTATCTAAACTGTCTTTCAATATTTTTTGCAGGGTCGGTTTGGTGTTCATGATGTTCTTCAGCTATTCTTTGTCATGGAAGTATCGTATTGCACCATCTATTTTGAATGATAGTTTTGCAGGATATATCAGTCTTGGTTGGAAATCATTTTGCTTTAGGATCTGGAATATTTCACTCCATGCTCTTCTTGACTTTATCATTTGTGCTGAGAAGTCTGCTGTGATTCTGATAGGTTTTCCTTTATAAGTGATTTGTCTTTTCTCTCTGACAGCTTTTAATAATCTATTCTTATGTTGGATTTCTGGGATGGTGATTATTATATGTCTGGGTGTAGTTTTATTTTGGTTATGAGTGTTTGGAGTTCTATATGCTTCACTTATCTTGATGTCAGTTTCTGATCTCATGCTTGGGAAATTTTCAGCTATTACTTCTCTAAATATCCTCTTGACATCCTTTATGTTGTCTCCCTCTCTTTCATTAATCCCTATCATTCTTCTGTTATTCTTCTTTGCATCATCTTGCAGTTGTTGAATTGTTGTTTCCTGATTCCTTGTTATTTTCAAAAGATCTTTCCTTTCCTGTTCCCTAGCTGCAATCATGTCTTCAAGGTCTGAAATTCTATCTTCACTTTCATTAAGGCGGTTTTTACAACTTTCAGTGGAGTTTTTTATTTCCTGTATATCTCTGTGCATCTGCATTATGTATTCTGTTTGTTTCTTATATTGCTCGTCTAGGGATTCCATCTTTTTGTTTAGTTCCTCCAATTTTTTATCTGTGTTTTCTTTAGATATATTTAGGATCTCTTTCATTTCTTTTATCATTTCTTCTTTTATCTGGGAGATTATTTCGAGTTTGAATTTCTTTAAAGCTTCCTGGAGTTGTTTGTCAACTTCAGTAGCTATTATGTCCAATATATGAGGTGGATGGGATATATTTTCTTCTATATACATCGCTCCTAGGGTTTCCTGAGATGGGCTGGAGGTTTGAGGTTGTAATTTGGTCTTTCGTTTTGTCATTTTCTATATTTCTGTGTTTCAAGTGTTATTTGAAAGCTTCCTCAGGATCTGTTGAAAATCCCCTTCTATGTTTGGAGCTACTGAGACTCTGACACCGCACTACCCCAAGCCATTGGGCCTACAGAACCAGTGGCCCTCCTCTGCCTGCTCAGAACTCTGCAGTTCCAGACAAGCTGGGCCTCAGGGACACTGTGCGCCCACCTGCCCCTTGGAAGATCCACAGCTCTTCAATCGCAGCCGGGTTAGGGTGCTCACCACAGGCCGTAGTGCCTCAGGAGCCTGTGGACCCTCCCTGCTTGCAGAGATATCCACAGTTCTCTGGGCAAAGGAAGGGACTTCTGCAGGCACTCCAGATCCGCCCAGCTCCCCCTCTGAAGGCAGATGGCTAGGCGCGGCTGGGCTCGGGGGTTAGTGTAGGCCCGCCCATCCGTCAGGAGCTCAGCAGACTTCCAAGTGTAGCCGGGAGGGATGGGGAGGTGGCTGTAGTGGCCTCTAACCCACTGCTCCACTTCACTGCACCCAGAAGCCTGGGGGGTCCGGAACAGTCTGAGATTTGGGCAGACTGTGCTGGGCACTCACCACAGGCTGAGGTGCCTCAGGAACCTGTGATCCCTCACTGCTTGCAGAAGTATTCAGTCCTTCAGACAAAGGAACAGGCTTCTGCAGGCACTCCAGATCCGCCCAGCTCCTCCTCTGCAGCCCACACACTGTATTTTACAGTACATTTATGAGATGGTGTACCATGTGCCCATGCTATTTCAGCTTAGGATCACTGAGATGAAGAATTATTGATTCCTCTAAACCTTTTATTTATTGTGATAGAGCACTTATCACAAGAGGTACCTTAAAAATTTAAATGCACACTCATTATTCTTAACTATAGGTTCAGTATTATGCAGCAGATCTCTAATGCTCATGCCTCTTTCCTCTCTGTCTTTCTCTCTTTCTGTCTCTCTCTCTTCTTCTCCTTCTCCTCCTCTTCCTCCTTCTTTCAGTTTATTTGGAGACAAGTTCTCACTATATAGTTCAGGCTGGTCTTGAACTGCCTGAGTAGCCCAGGCTGACCTCAACTTACCAGTGATCTTCCTACCTCAGCCTCCAGAGTGGTAAGGTTATAGGAGTACACCACCACACTTGACTCTTATATGTCTTTATTAAGTGAAACTTTATGCCCATTAATTAATCAACTCTCAATTTCCCTGAAAACTACCATCTCACCTCATGCCTCTATTTTTTGATTGAGTTTTTAATTAGTACATAATGATCACATTCACCATTGGGAATTTGTACACAATATATCATTTATTTTCAATTCCTCTCTCCCTTCAGTCCTTCTTCTCTTCCCCACTAACAAAAACTCTTTCCATTTTTTCCTTCAGTTCCCTTTTTTGGACTCCCCTTTGATTCTCTACCTGCATCCTCTCTTGTTTGACTCCCCATTTGAACAAGTGCCTCCTTCCTAATATCTAGCTTCCATTTTGCTCCTTATTTATACTTTGGATTTCTCACACAAGAGAAACAATGCAACATTTAAACTTGTACGCCTGATCTATTTCATTTAAGAGTATGGTCTCAGGGTGCATCTATTTACCTAAAAAGTCTCAAATTTATCTTTTTTATGGCAAAGTAGTAATCCATTGCACACAAATGCCACTTTTTAAAATAAATTTACCTGAAAATAAGCATAGGGGCTATTTCCAAGATGTAGCTATAAACATGTGTTGCTATAAACATGAGGGTACACAATATCATTGTAGTGTGATGACTTTAGCTTTTTTGGGAAGATACCTAGAAGGAGAGGAGCTGAGTCAAATGGAGCTTTTAGATGTTTGAGGAATTTCCATACTGATTTTCATAGTGATTTTACCAACTTATGCTCCCACCAAGGTGGGGAAAAGTTCATTTTTCCCCACAGCCTCACTGGTTGATTTCTTGATAATAGCCATTATTTCTGGAGTGAGGTGGAATCTCAGAGACATTAAAAATGTCCAGAAATGTTGAACATTTTTTCATTTATTTGCTGTTTGTACTTCTTCATCTGAGAAGTATGTATTCATTCCAGGTGTCCATTTTTGGATTTGCTCTTTAAATCTGAGGGCCCAATTTTTTGAGTTCTTTCTATATTCTAGATATTAGTCCTCTAACTGAGGGGTAGCTGGAAAATTTTTTTCTCATTCTATGGGTTGTCTTTTCATTTTGTTGGTTGTTTCCTTTGCTGTGCAGAAGTTGTTTAATTTCACATGATCCCATTTGTTGATTCTACTACAGGCCAATCTTGCTAATGAAAATATACACAAAAATTCTCCATAAGATATTAGCAAACAAAATGAAACAAATTAGTTACCAAGTAGGATTCATTCCAAGGATGCAGGGATGGTTCATCACTTGCAAATCAAGAAATGCAATCCAGAACATTAACAGAATTAAGGAAAAAACCCCACATGGTCATCCGAATAGAGGTAGAAAAATCATTAGAAATAGTCCAAGATTTATTCATGATAAAAATCCTAAGGAGAATAGAAATAGATTGTCTTTACCTCAATGTGATAAAAGACATTTATGTCAAATCAACAGCAACATTATACTAAATGGAGAAAAATAGAGCTCTTCCTATAAAGTCAGGAACAAGACAAAGATGACCACTGTCACCACTTTGGTTCAATGTAGTTCTGGAAACATTAGCCAGAGCAATTAGACAAGACAGAGAAATAAATCGTTGCCTATCAGGACCGCTATGTGAATTTTTTCTTTCATTACAGGAATATCGTAGGATCACACCCATTTTATGGCTCCTGACTGAGTATGGAAATTCACCTGTAAATTCCAGACTAGAGGCAGACAGGCCAACCCTAGAGTGTGGCTCCTGGGGACGTCCTGTCTGTTGGAAAACAGGCTGATGCCTGTGGACATCATTTTCACCTCTTTTAAAATGATCATCTTAAATAAAGAATTTTATCACAGTCTTTATTTATGAATGTTTTGGTGCTGGGTGAGGAGAGCTTTTTCAGAGTTTAAACTTGTAATGAAGGAATTTTTTAAAATAAAGTTTTGAAATTCTTAATTCTTTGGAAAAATTTACAGTCCTTATCTATGTGGCACTGTGGGCTATGATATGGGTCTTTGTGTGACAACCAAGCAGTGGTTCTATTGTATTCAAGCTTTTTAATTAATATTTGTATCCTTCCCATGATAGGTGTAACATCAGATGAAATTAAAGCTTCCTCAAGCTGGCTGAGAGAACAGTAGACTTTGCTCTTCTCTATTTCTGTCTTTTCTATGTATTTTTCTACTCCTTTCTATTATTATTGTGAGCTGATTTGAATACTTATGTTTATCTCTCTTGCTCATAAGAAGTTGAAATTCAAAGAGAAAATGATTCCAGATAGTTTCTCCTTCATTTTTGCTAGCTTTGAACCCAATAGTAAATTTCCACTTTCCAAAAACCTTGACTTATATAGAAGTGGATTAGTGAGCAGCATTTGAAAATGTTTTAAAAGCCCAGATGTTTTTAGAAGTCTTCTTAAACTCTAGAAACTTATCCTGATCCATCCCACGGATCAGTCAGTGGGCCTTGCCTGGAGAGGGGACGGAGATGGAGGGCTGGGCAAGAGAAAAGAGAGATGGAGACAAGGCGGGATTCCATTCAAGTCTCCTTTATTCTTAAAATGGCTACAACTTATATAGGGTGGAGGCAGGCCAATGGGGCAGGAAGAGGGCACAGAGTGTTATCTGATAGGTCATTGTCACATCCAGATATATGATGTAAGCAGGAGAGGATTGTGGGAGATGTAGGCTGAAGCGGGAAGTTGTTCATGTCATGCGCGCTGTAGGCAAGGGGAAGATCATGGGAAATGTAGGCTGACACACAAAATGCCCTCAGGTAGAGGGGCAGGGCAGCAGCAGCCACTCTGAGCTGCTCCCTACATTATCCTTTGGATTTTGAATCATTTGACAAAAATGTGAGGACAGTGCTGTAATCACAATATATTCTTAATTCCTGGTTTGGTTGTCACTCTGAGACTCCTGCGAACTTCTGGCCTTTCTTGATTTACCTAGCCAGTCAGAGGGAGAAGTCCCTGCCTCACATAGCTTCTGTGCTGCAAGAGATCTGGGGCCAGGAAGATACCCAAGAGACCAGCACAATTCTTCTCCATGTCCATGCCCAGCACCTAGGGTGAGGCTTCTCACTGGGGAGTGTGAGAATCGAATTCTTTTCAGGGAAAAGTCAAGAGGAAACTGAAGAGAAAGCCCACCCATGTGTTTCAAAGGCTGCTCACTCTGGGGTAATGGAATAGACAAATAATCTCTCTCTGTGCTATGCTGCTCTGTCCATTTCTCCTGTTTTCTACTCTGTCTCATTTCCTTTTCTAAGGGGCTTTTCTGAGATGATACAGAATATGATTGCACCTGAATGGAAGAGAGCAAGATTTTGTTTGTCAATTCATAAGGAAATGCTTTGATTTTTCTTCTCTGAAGAGAAAGTATCACTGATTGCTGCTTAGAAGATGATTTATTTATCTGTTTGAGCTTCTATCATTTCTCAAATCAGGTGTCCCATACATGTGAAGCTTTTGTCTTTTCTACATCAGTTCTTTCAACCTAAGTATTTGTCCATTAGATTTAGGTGGATGAAATTTTTGGAAACAAAGAGCAAACAACATTCCCCCCAAAAAATAGCTCTACAAAAAACCCCAAAGAAACAAAAATAGGTGTGTAACAAAGAGGCTTTTGAAGGACCTACTGGTTAATCTCCATTGTGAACAGAAAATGATAGACCAAAGGACAGTGCCCCAAACATGCAGCGTGTAAAATCATTTTAAAAGTGTCTGATAATCAAGAGCAAATTTATAAGCTATGACATTTATAAATAAGAGAATGGCAGGAAATACTATAAAGAGAGAAGTTTTGATAAATGAAATAAAAATTGAAGCCACTTGTTCCATCATTATACTCAGTGTTGAAGAAATAGGAATCATTGCAGTTTATATCATTTTCATTTATAAATATATATCATGAGTGTGTCACTATTGAAAACACCCATAACTATTAGAAAATTATAGCCTCTTAGCATTTCAGGGTAAGAACTTAAACTTCTTTCAATCCTGAGCATTCTACCAATGCATTTCATGATGAGATAGGCTAAATAGGAAAGTGGTCATCATTGTCAGCACTGTCCTGAGTAGTTTATGTGGATTTACCCTTTAAAAACTTGTACAAACCCTACTGAACAATCAGGCATTAAAGTTACCAGTCAGGAGGACAAGTCAGGTTGAAATGAAGCCTTTTTAAAAAAGAAGCAAAATGGTGTGTTGGCTCCATCAGGGCAAGAATAGGAACTGTACTGAGTCAAAGTGGAGCAGGCCACAGCCACAGATGAGGAACTGATGGATGAGGGTACCAGGCACCGTATGAGGAGGATCAGCCTGAGGAGGTTTTAGGATTCTAAGCCCCTGACTATGGCACCCCAAGGAGTGCAACATCTGGGCTCTGCATCAAGCTTTATCCCATGAGGGCTGCCAAGAGATGCTCCATAATGGATCAGTTCTAGAAGATCACATAGCAGGCTTTTGCCATCACTCCAGAATATTCAGCTCTACCCCTTGATTCTTTAAGGCCCTAGACATAAATGGCATGGATATTAAGGGATATGCTTATAGCCATGATATGCTATCAGAGGCAAGGTCTAGTTCAGGGCCATTCCAACGAAGATGACCAGATCAACTTCAAGGCCATGAGCCCCAGTATTAGCAAGCCAGAAAAAATCAGAATGCAGCCCACTAGGATGTATTCTAGGCAGCTAACAGGATTTTTTGTCTGTGACTAATCAGAAATTTACACTGCCAGTGTCATTGATTCAGGTGCCAGATGGAGTACACGTAATTGCACAGGTATCTTATGATTGGCCAGTGGGAAATTGAGGTCTTTCCAGTTGGGTTGTACATAACATTTTCTGAATGGATTTCTAGCAGTAGAAATAACTTCCTGGAGTGTACATATGAGTGCAGGGTTAGTAAGACCACCTAGAAACTCTCCTTAGTAACAGGATGCTTGGCTTTGGGGCCTCCACCTTATTTGATATACTATAGTATGCTCAATTGGGAAAGCATTACCTTAAATATTAAGAAATCTCTAATCAGTGTCCCCTATGTGTGTGCCACTATATTCATAGAATACAGTCTGGAAAAAATAAAATTATATTTCTTTTTTAAAAATTATGAATTTTAATAATGACATACAAATTATAATTGTAAAAGCATATCAAACACATTTACATATCCAGAAACTATACAAATGTAGAAAATGTTGACCTCAAAATGATGATGAGAAGACACAGAAATCAATTTTACTGCAATCATGGGGATGAGAATTCACATTTTTGGGAGCAATTTGCAAATTTCAATTAAATTTCTTTTTTTAATTTAAAGAGATTAAGACAAAACAGTACATAACAAAGCAGATCAGAACAGAACAATGGAAGCAACACGGTATTTCACCTGATGACAACCCATAATTAACAGTAATTACCACAATGTCTCTTTCTTTGAAATAGTTGAGTATAACTTCCTATACACTAGTATCAAACATAACAAAATAGTATAAAACCATTCAAGAGAATGAGAGTATTACAGGGCATTCAGAACCAAATAACAGAAAAAAATGGATACTATATTATTTCATTTTCCATAGAAAATTTGTTTATACTATCACACAGAATAAAATCCAATAAGATACAACATGATAGAGCCAATGGAAACAGAACAAGAAAAGCATAGTAGGACTTCAGAGTAAGATGACATTATATCAGTATTGGCTATTATAATTACTTATTGTATTCAAAATAGCTATTCATACATCAACACAGATAATATAATCAAACAAACCAGGATAAATCCATTCCAGTTAATGAATGTGATCATTATAAGGCTTCAAAGCAATATAATAGGGAATCATGATTACCATAAACTCTTATGTACTCTTACTATTTCTTATACTAGGGAGACTATATGGTATTTATATTTGCAAGTTTGATTTATTTCACTTATGAGCATGGTCTCAAGTGGCATCCATTTATTAGTAAATATCTCAATCATTCTTTATAACTGAGTAGTACTCCATTTTATAAAAATACCACAACTTTTTTTTATTTAAAAAAAGATTAAGATAAAAGAGGACATAACAACACAGGTCAGAACAGAACAATTTACACAACGTAAGTGTTTTACCATAAAACAATCCGATGTAACAGTAGCCACCATAGTGTCTCTTTCCTTAAAATATTTGAATATACCTTGATATACTATAGTATCAAACATAAAAAGACAATTTAAAACCATTCAAGAGGATGAAAGTGTTACAGGGTATTCAGAACCAACTAACAGAAAGTGAACAACGTTTACTATATTATCTCCTTGTCTATAAAATTTTTATACTATCATATATAAAAATATCCAATAAGATACAACATGATAAAACTGATGGAGACAGAAGAACATAAGCTTGGTGGGACTTCCAAAAAAGATGATATTAAAACATCACTAGCTATTATAATGTCTTGTTTTCTTCAAAATAGCTGTTCATATCATAACAGACAATAAAATCAAACAACCCAGAATAAAGCCATTCCACTTAATGAATGAAAACATCACAAGGCTTCAAAGCAATATAATGGGGAATCATGATTAACACATACTTTTATGTATTCTTACCATTTTTTAAACTAGGGAAACTATTCAGTATTTATACATGTGAGTTTGATTTATTTCACTTATGAGTATGGTCTCAAGCTGCGTCCATTTATTTATAAATAAAGTGATCCTTCTTTATAGCTGAGTAGTACTCCACTGTATCAAAACACCACAACTTTTAAAATTTATTTAAAGAGAAAAACAAAACAAAACATTAAAAGGGTACAAGTAATACAGAATTTCAAGAGAAAAAATGTACAGTAAGAAATCATTACTCAATACATTTCACATTGTCATCTTAGAAACAGTTTTCCAGATTACAAAATTAAAGCATACAAAGTGGACATTAAT